AAAGGTTTTGTAAAGTATATCCCAGGATCTCAGAGGAAAAATAATGTATACGTCCCAGGAACACAGAGTTATATTACATGAAAATCAGTTTTAGCAATAAACTGAACAAAATTTAAAATCATCTAAAAATCAAATGGCCAAATGTTAAGTATTTGTTTGTACCAGTAAGATAGCAAGAAATTAAAGAATTGTTAAAATGCCTCAACCTAGGAAAATAAAGCTTTATAAACTAAATTTTTTTAAAAGTCTGGGGGTAAGGGCAGGATCAATAAAGTACCCAAAATGATATACTAGAAAATGATATATGAGAAGAGTTAACAAAAGTTTGTGTATATACACGTATGCATATATGCATATATGCATACGTATATATACACACACATATATACATACTGAGATATTTGGATGTAATACTCCTAGAAAATGATGGAGAGAAAATGTTTTTAAGTACAAAGATGTTAATGATATAATAAGAGTCACCAAATATCACGCAAGCAAATCAGTTTGCAATCGCTAAGGTGTAAGCCCATTACTCATATGAATTGAAGGTGTCAATGAACAGAATCCAAAACCTGAACCCTTGAGTTATTAAGAGCTTTTGGGGGGGGGGGGGGCAGGGGGAAAAGAAAAGAAAAAAGAAAAAAATCTATCAAAATCTGAAATAGTAGGACATTTTCGACTTTAAGGTTTATCAAAATGTAATGCTACTTTCTTTTTTTTTTTTTTTTTGAGACGGAGTCTCGCTCTGTCGCCCAGGCTGGAGTGCAGTGGCGCGATCTCGGCTCACTGCAAGCTCCGCCTCCCGGGTTCACGCCATTCTCCTGCCTCAGCCTCCCGAGTAGCTGGGACTACAGGCGCCCACAACCGCGCCCGGCTAATTTTTTTTTTGTATTTTTAGTAGAGACGGAGTTTCACCGTGGTCTCGATCTCCTGATCTTGTGATCCGCCCGCCTCGGCCTCCCAAAGTGCTGGGATTACAGGCGTGAGCCACCGCGCCCGGCCCTCAAAATGTAATGCTACTTTCCCTAGCAAAGGGGGCTTGGCTTGCTTCTTTTTCTGTTGTTTCTAAAACACTCTCTAGGTCTCTAGATTTTCTTGTTTTAAAAAACGTACGAAGAAATGTATTGTAAACCTGGGAGGCTAACAATTAACTCTAAATTCTCTTACCTTTCCCGTCTTCAAATATTACAACCACCTCAACAAAACTCATCAAAAATCCCAAATTACCCACTAAACAAATAAACAAAACAAAACTAACAAAAAGATTCAATAGAGAAGAAAGGCACAGCGTTATTTTTATTTAAATAACACAAATATTTCTTATTTTAAAGCATCCAGTAATGTTTCTTCACCAACAGGAAGTGTATATCTAGGAAATTAACCCATTTTAATAAAACTCCCTTACAAATTGGATGTCCCAAAGAGTCAGCAGTGAAGACTTTTACCTACATTTAACATTACCCAGGAACTGTTTCACCTTGGTTTTTATTTAAACAAACTATAACATTGTTTCCTATGATTTTCATCCCTGGATACACTACTTGCTTAGGGTAGTTGAATGTAATGTGTGCATGATACGGCAGTAGACAATGATTTCATGTATTTATTGTACCAATACTTAATCCCTGGAATAAAATACACATAATTTACCGAAATTTACTGAAAGCAAACTGCTGAAATACGAGCTTAAAGGTGTATGAAGAAGCATAAAACTCTGCACAATTAGAGTCTGGGGAATTTTAGAACAAAATTAACTACTTGTATATTAACCAGGAGAGAAATGGTTTAAGAGTATATACTGTATAGTAAAATCAAAGAAACTAAACCTAGTCATAGTACTATATCACAGAACAATTTCACCAGGGGTCCAAAGTTCAACTTTACTACTGGGCAAAGACAAAGTTCAAACTCAAATGACAACTTTTCTCTTTGCAGAAAAATAAACAACAGGGTCATAATTAAGAAACAGGTAACTAAGTGGGCCAAGCAACAGGTGAAACCAATGATTCTTCTAGAAGCAGGCAAAGTACTGACTACTAAGTACTACACTAATACTAAAACAGTAAGAAATTACCTAATTGATTCAGGAAAAGTTTTAGATTAGAAACCGCATTTTAAAGAGTAACCTTCAATTCTCTATTAAAGATTATAACCCAAAAAGGGGGAAAAAATCACAGCTAAAGACAGTAGGTGCCAGAAAGATGTTAAGTCACCTGGCTTTTGGTACAGGCTTTGGGAGGGCGACCCTTAGCACCTAAGTGAAAAGAAGGCTAGGAAGAATCAGCACTACAAAAGCCATGTCCTACAACCCAGCTTATCCTTCTGCCATGGACTTTCTCAGAAGACAATACGAGATCATTTCCAATTAGTATTACATCTTACAGAAATAGTTAAATTTTACTCTTTCACTGTGCTAGTCTCTAAATGTCATGTTATGAATATGGTTTAATAAAAAGCAACTAGTCAAGACAACAGAGTGCTAAGTACACTTTACAATACCTTATTAACTTGAAAAATCAATTTCTGTCACAAAGTTTAGAGAAAAGGGAAAAAAATAAAACAATGTTTATGGCAAGTTTCTTTTTAAACTTCCTTACTCTATTTTCACCCTTTCCAAAATGAATCACAACAATAAAGAATCTTCGTCTCTTCTGAAAATAATGTTTGTTTTTAATCAAACTCAAAGTTCTACAGATAACCTCTTCAAGTTCTTGACTTCTAGTATTTAAAGTCTTGTGTTTAACCTGTAAAAATCTTGCTATTTTATAACAAATGTTGCTTTTAAGCAAAGCCATTTAAGAAAGCCATTTAATATAATACCTAACATGAGGCTATTAAGAAGCTAAGAATACTATTTTTAAAAGAGATTAAAATTTTTAAATTACAACCTGCTTAGAAACAATATTAATCTCAGATAACACAGACATAATGATATCTTGAGAAATTACTGACTCAAAGTGTCTCCTTAAAAAATAAGTGTAGTATTCAGAACTTTACTACTAATGACTACAAAATGTTCTGCGACCATTAATATGTTATTCCCTTTATTTTGGCTAAATCTTTAAAATAGAACAGTGTCTATGGCTGTCAAGAGGGTAAAACTGTATTACTCTAATAATGTCAACTACATATGGGGCATAGGATGCTTATCTAACACAGTTAATATGACTAATACTCTAAATCTTGAATTATTGTTAAATAAAATACAAAGGTTGAGAAAATGTATAACAGATAGATTAGACTAATATGAAATAGCCATCTCTTCGGTCTTCTAAAAAAAAAATCACAATAATTTAGAATACACCAGCTTCCATGTCAATATATCAACTTTAAAATTTCTAAAAATACGTTATATTTTCATCTTTGCCCCAACTACTCAAAACAAAACACAAAGCAATGATGCAGATGTTCTCATTATTCATTGACTCATGGGATTTGAACTAAGATTTGGCACCTAGACTAGTAAATGCTGTCTATATAGTCTTTTGCACATTACACACAGTGCGTGACTGGCTGAATTACAGCCCCAAAAGTCTTTCCTCTGCCTTTCACACACTGTAAAAGTTAGCGTTAAGAAAAAAATTTACAAATTCTCAAAACTATACAGAAAAAGCTGTTTAAAGTCTGCCAAAGTTTTAAAAAATTAACAACAATAAAAAGAAAACCTCACTACATAAACCCATACATTTAAAATGAATACGATGGAATAGGCTATAGAAAGAAAATCTTAATTATGATCTTAGGAGCATGTGAGTCTGTGTGTATATATATCCACAATACACAGACATATGTAAACCGCACCACAAACCATCAAGCCCCATTAAGCTCAAGGACTATTAAAGATATATAATATTTCCAAAGCGAGCTGCTGATAAAGAAATGAGAAGGAGATAACATATTAAATTTTTCTCCAGAATTTTCTAGCATTTTGCCATCAAGGGTGGACTGCTACCTAGCCCAGGTAACAATTAAGCAGCCCATTATATTTTGATGCACCGTATACTCAGTAGAGCACATTCAGGAAAAACAGTTTGGTTTCTAATAACGTTACAATCACCATTCTCTCTCCCACAAACATCTAAGACGACAGAATCACATTCTATCTATGCTGAAACAAAACCAACAATGCTGTCTATAACAAATTCATAAGAACTACTACATACTATCAGATCTCACTGTATGCTGTCTCTGATCAATGCTTTGAAACTGACGAGTATGCCATAAACGTAACGTGCTTTGCAGCAAATTTTACTAGCATAAAAGATACCAGGGCAAAGAGCCTCCTTTAACCCACCACTTGAACAAAATTCTGTAAAATCAAAAGCGTTACAGAAGCTTTCACTCCGCTAGGCACCTAAGTCTTCCTTCAAAACCCAGACTCTCTTCAACAGCTCCCTGCAAGAACACACCAGTCGGCCACATATCACATATTGTACCCTCATCGGTACTCAGACACCTGAACCACCTGGACTGACAGAGTTAGGCTGACAGCTCCGAGATGTCTGCTAGTGTGCAAGAAACACTGAAGCAGCTAAGCCCTTCCAGGTACACTAGGTGGTAACCTTGGCACCAAGTACTTCTATAGTAAAGACCCTTTTTCCCTGTTAGAAGATGCGTAAGATCGTTCCAAAGAAAATGCTACAATCCTAAGGACCTTTTTGCACAACAGAGAGCGGAAAAGGCTGGCCTTCTCTAGTCAAAAACTCTTGTCTGCGGGGGGAGATGGAGCTACAAATATAGGAAACTCAGCTTCTAGTCGCAATTCTGTGACAGCTAACACAGCTAGCAGGGCAACCTCGCCAAGCCAGAGCTCAGTTTTCCCATCGGCAAAATGGGACTCACCAACGCCACCCCTCCCCCTCGTCAAGGAGTCAGGCACACCCTAGAGGTCTAAGATTAACCCGGACCATACGCGGTGGGGAGGTGCCGTCGCTCCCAGGACGCCCACCCTGGCGCCCCTGTACCCAACACCCCGCGGCAGATACGCAGGGCCGGCGTACCTGGTTTCACAGTCTTGAGACGGATGGGCTCGCGGAAGTGGCGGATGACAGCCAGGGTGTCCCGGTTGGTGAGCCCGCTGACAGGCGTCCCGTTTACCTCCAGCAGCACATCGCCTGGGCTGGGCGCCTTGCCGGAGACGACGCAGCAGGTGCCCCCGCCGGGCTCCTCGCGGAGCCGCCCCAGGTAGGGGAACTCGCCACGCTCCGCGCCACCGCGGATCTCCGCGCCGAAGTCGCCCGGGGGCCCGGCCCAGGACACGGCGCACTCCTGCACCTTGCTGAGCCAGTGCTTCTTCTTCTTCAGCGTCTTCGACATCCCGAACCCCGCTGCACCATGGGGGAGACCCCGCGCGGGCGGCCGGGGCGCCGCTCCGGCCCCGTCTCAGCCCGGGGGCCCTGGGCGGCCCGCGCAGCCGGGTCAGGGGGGCCTCGCCGCTCCGGCCCCCACCCGGTGACCACAGCCCGCTGGGGGCCCGGCCGCTCCCAGACTAGTAAAGGCTCCGAGACGCCTCTTGGACGCCCCTCCCAGCTGCGCTCCCCGGGGCTGACCAGACTCCGCGAGGGCCAGCGCAGGTTAGGCTGAAGAAAGGAAAAGGGAATTGTCCCCAGGCGGTTCCAAAAGGGGCTTCGGGCGGGGTCACTGCCGCCGGCTGGTCCCCGGGCGCAGCGCCCGAGCGGCGGGAAAGGCTGAGGCGGGGGGGCGGTGAGGTGAAGGGGGAAGAGCCGGGAACGGGAAAAATCCGTCGGGGGCGCGCAGAAGCGCGCGTAGACCCGTCGCGGGATCGATCGTGCCCGCTGCGGAGCTGTAGCGCGGAGACCAACGCCTGCCCAAGCTGCCAGGAAACTGCCGCTTTCAAACCCGCCGCAACCTCCTCCTCCTCCCTTTTCCCTTCCCCCCGCCCTCGCCCATCCCTCATCCAGAGCCCCGCCCCCTCCTGCCGCGCGGCGCCCGGCGCGCTGCCGTCACAGGCCCGGCGCTTGGGAACGAGCCCCGGCCCCGGACTCTCGCGCCAGGGATTGGCCCCCGGCGGGCAGGGGGCGGACCGCCAACGAGAATGAGGACCACTGGTTGGTCGGTGCGAGTGGAGGAGGCGGGCACTAGAATGACTGAAGTTTAGAGAGGGTGGAAAGAAGAAGTTTGGAGAGTGAGGGAGGGCGCAGAGGAGGGGCAGGGGAGTGGAATGGGCTTCAGGTCGCAGGGCCGGGAGAGGCCCTCTGCGCGGCTGCTGGAGCCGAGGAAAACGCGAATCCGAGAGTGACCGAACTCCCCGAAGTGGGGGCGTGGCCGGCGAGTTAGGCGGAGACGCAGGCGGAGCCTCCGAGTCTGTGCGGGGCGCTGAGAGGGGCCGGTGTGCTTAGATTGGAAGACAACGTGCGGAGTCCTGACCCTGCCAAGGTTCCGGGGCCTCTAGGGTGGCCTGTTACAGCCGATAGCTTGCATTGAGTGGGTATTTCTTGTTCATTCGTTCATTCAACAAATGTTGAATGAACGCCCATTGAGGCAGGGCTTCGGAGTCCGGTTGATGAAAGATATTATAAAATAGAGTCCGGCACTTAACTGCTGTGTGACCTCAGACAAATTAGACAACCTCTCTGAGCCGCAGCGTCCTCAATGAAAAGTGAAGATTCCAGAAGATGTACAAAATAACTGCATAGTGCCTGGCAGTGTGTGGATCCCTCTTAAAGTTTGGTAGCTGCTGCTGCTGATGATGATGATGATGACGATGACGATTTTGTGTTAGATATTGTGCTAGGTACTGGGATTCAAGGGTGAAGAAGCCCCGCTATTGAGGAGGTTACAGTCTAGTGGGAGAGACTGAGAAGTAAGCAGACTGCCTGAGGTGAGGGGGCGGGGTGGAGGTAGAGGTGGATTATTAAGAACTGGCCTGGTAGCCAGCAGACCTGGTTGGAGTCTTGACGTGCTACTGACTTGCTGTTTGACCTTGGCCAAATCTCAGTTAAAGGAGGTGAAGGGAGAACGAACATCAAATAAAAGATACCGTAGATCCCTTCCAGCTCTAATTTTTCGAAAACTTCACTTCAGCTTTCTCTCTTCCCCGGCTTGACTCACACTCTTCCCTGTCTTTGGAATGCCCTTCAAACCATCTCTTTTAAAACTCCTATCCGTCATCATCCCAAATGCCAGCTCTTCCAGGTAGCTTTCTCTGATTTCTTGCCCTCAAGTGGAAAATGTTTTCTCTGAGCTATGATCTTTGTTTCACTTCTGCAGCATGCCATTTATTTGTGTAGTCTCCTGTCTCCCTTCAATAGTAGGTGAAAGCCCTTATTTAACTCCACAGAATCTCACCACACCTCGGATAGACTGGACCAAACTTCAATAGCTGCAGTGATTTGGTTGACATCATTGTATCAGTCAGGGTCCTGGCAGGAAACAAATGGCATTTTGCAAAGATGTGGGCAGGGTGTGGGAAACCACAAGAGAAGCCTGGAACAACTCCTAGATCTGTCCAATCAGGGGAAAGAACAGTTGCCGAAAAATCCAGACACAGAGGGCCACCTGACAGGAGTCTGACCTTCAGTCAACGGATGCAGTCAGCCTAAGTAAACATCCAGCAAAGGACCTGGGGGATTTATATCTAACTCACCACCCACCTCCAGTCTCCTGGTGGTGTAGGTCAATGGCCAAGTCCAACCAGAAGCCAGAGGGCAAGGGAGGCTTTTGATATAGTTCATATCAGTCAGTTTCAGAAAAGGAAACAGTGCATCTGAGGGGAAAATATTCAGCACAGACACCATGTGGGTGGCTCAGATTTACCCATATCTGAGACGAAGCTTGGAGTATTTTTTTTTCTAAACTACTACCTATACTAATGGATTCCTGGATAAAATCTTCATAACCTACACATCATCTGTTTTTGCTGAAACTCTGAGAAAACATCTTTCTCTGTCTAGATTGCATCTGTTAGAATGCCTTTGGCCTCAAGGAACAGAATATTTGACAGTAGCTTTAAACATGAGGTCATTTATTATATCTTTAATATAAGTTTCAAGTGCAGATAGTTTCAGGGTTAGTTGAGCAGCACAATCATGTCATCAAGGACCCAAGCTCTTTTTTGTGTTTGCTCTCTGCCCTCACATGTGTGTTAGCGGCCGTCACCTCTTAATTGCTATGTGACTGCCATAGCTCCAGACATCACATCCACAGAGGTCATTGCACAGAGCAGGAAGGGAAGAAAAGGAAGTGCTGTCCACCATTTTTATGAAGGAGAAAAATATTTCCCAGACTTTAGAATCTTCCTTATTGTCCAGAAAATGGTCACATGCAACATCAGACCAGTCACTGGCAAAAAGAGAGGATTTGCCACAGTTCATTAAATTGATCACAAGTCATCCCTAAACAAAATGAGTGTTCTGATGGAGAGAAAAGGGGAAATAGTTGCTAAGTAGGCATCCAACAGTGTTTGCCACATGCCTCAACCATCAATGAGTTATATTCATTCTTGGGCAGAAAACTGCAGTGGTTCAGAGCTTGAGCTTTTGTGTCAGACTGCAAATCCCAGCCTTTCTACTTAGTAGCTCTGTGATCTTAAGCAAGTTATTTAACCTTGCCTATCCTCAATTTCCTCATCCACAAAATGGGTTTGATGACAGTATTTACCTGAGCTGTTGTGAGAATTGTATGAAGCTATTTGAGTCAAGTAATTTGAGTCAAGCTATGTGATAATATAGGGTGCAGCATAGAGCAAACAGTACATTTTTATTTTAGTTTGTGCTAAATTGTACTATCTGTGACAAAGCTAAAAACATCATATTAAATTCACCCATCTTAGTAAGCTTTGGTTCAGTTTTTTAAATATTCTAGAAATAAGCTACCCATGCTATTGAATTAATTCTAGTAGGATATTATTTTGGCAATTATTACATAAAGGGGTCATGTCATAAGCTCTGTCTCTAAAATGGCACCTAATTAAATCATCATATTGTATCCATGTTTATCACTACTTTCCAAACCTAATGATTGGTTTAATAGTTGTGATTTCCATTAGGGAATATTAATAAGCCAAACAACATGGAACAAAAATAATAAAAATAAATGAGGCAATTGAATTTGATGATCTCCAAGGTTTCTTTGGGCTATCTCTGTCTAATCTATAGAGATAGAGATAGCTATGTGTGTTAGGCTATTTTTATGTCATTATAAAGAAATACCTGAGGCTGGGTAATTTATAAAGAAAAGAGGTTTAGTTCACTCACAGTTCTGCAGGCTGTACAAGCATGGCGCTGGTATCTGCTTGGCTTCCTGGTGAGGCCTCAGGTAGGATTCACTCATGGTGAAAGGCACAGCAGTGGCAGGCACATCACATGGTGAAAGTGGGAGCAAGAGAGGGTGGAGGTGCCACACACTTTTAAACAACCAGGTCTGGTGTGAACTCACTCATCGCCAAGAAGACAGCACTAAGCCATACATGAGGGATCCGTCCTGTCCCCATGATCCAAACAGTTCCCACCAGGCCCCACCTCCAATACTGGGGATCACATTCAACATGAGATTTGGAGCGGACAAATAGCCAAAACATATCAATATGTTTCACTATGGAAACTTACAAGTTCAGTCCCAAGATGGCTGCAGAAGCTCCAAGTATCACATCCTCACACAATAATGTCTAAAGACTGAAAGGAGAGAAGAGGATATTTCCTTTCCTCATTTCCTTTTTGTAGATCAAGGAAGCCTTTCCCCCAAAGGCCTCCAGGAGGTCTTCTCCTCCAGCTTCTTGGCCACAGTTTCCCGAATTTACTTTACTAAATGAATCTTTGCCAAGGGTAATGAAATATCCTATTACTCCTCCAACATCACCTCTGGTACTCTGAAGGGGGCCCTGCTTCTTCAGCTGCACAATATAGGGACAAAACTTGGGGGAAGGGGTCTCTTAGTAAATATAGGGAGAGGACATTAGCTTTTGGGTAAGCAACCCACATTGTCTGCCACGTGTCCACTGCATTGATTTCCTTCTAATAATTTTTTTTTTTTTTTTTAAGCAAGGTGGAAAGTTTGTTTTGTTTCATAATATTGTGCCTAATGTTTCTAATGACAGTTACATAAACCCACTCCTGACCGGGCGCAGAGGCTTAGGCCTGTAATCCCAGCACTTTGGGAGGTCAAGGCGGGCGGATCACTTGAGGTAAGGAGTTCAAGACCAGCCTGGCCAATATGGTGAAACCCCGTCTCTATTAAAACTACCAAAATTAGCCCAGCATGGTAGGAGCTACCTGTAATCCCAGCTACTCAGGAGGCTGAGGTGGAAGAATCACTTGAACCGGGGAAGCAGAGGTTGCAGCGAGCCAAGATTGCACCATTGCACTCCAGCCTAGGCGTTGCAGCGAGGCTCTGTCTCAAAAAACCCACTCTTGGCCGGGCGCAGTGGCTCACACCTGTAATCCTAGCACTTTGGGAGGCCGAGGCAGGTGGATCACCTGAGGTCGGGAGTTCAAGACCAGCCTGATCAACATGGAGAAACCCCATCTCTACTAAAAATACAAAATTAGCTGGGCGTGGTGGCGCATGCCTGTAATCCCAGCTACTCAAGAGCCTGAGGCAGGAGAATCGCTTGAACTCGGGAGGCGGAGGTTGCGGTGAGCCGAGATCGTGCCATTGCACTCCAGCCTGGGCAACAGGAACGAAACTCCGTCTCAAAAAAAAAAACAAAAAACAAAAAACAAAAAAAAATCCCACTCTTTTAAGTAGAAAACTTCAGAATGGAGGTATAAATTTCCCATTTTTGAAAGTGACCCATACTTAGTTACTTCTTTGTACAATCAGGGATGCCTCATGGTGGTGCAATGCAGAGTCTATGTGAGTAGTGCCCTGGAGTTATTCATGGCTTTGTGCCAAAGCAAGACAAAAGGAGGGGGAAATGTTAGATTTTGTTTATATTTAT